TTTAGCCTGAGGAAGAACAGGCACGGGGGAAATGAAAGCTGCTTTCAAACACATGATCAGCTGGCTGAAAGTCGAACAAGAGTTGTTTTTAATGGCTCTGAAATCAGAATTATATTACTAAGAGAGAATGATTCAACTGGATTGAAAAGAAGATTTTAAAAGATAGTGTGTCCAGAGACAGTTGGAATTTCTTCGAAATACTGAGTTCCCTATCTTTGGATGTCTTCAAGCAAAGGCTTAACACAGAGTGGGGGTATTTTAAAGGGAATGGAAGCTTTGGAAATTAGCTTGGATCATGAGTCTTCTGACCCTGATATTCAAGATTTCTGTGAAAGGAGTTCTTCTTTTAACTGAAGAGCATTAATATACAAAATAACCCATAGTATTTTATAAGGAAATGGTATGTACTAACTGAAATTTTGGAATGCTTTTCATTAAGGAAAATGTGAAGGAAAGAAAAATGAAAAGGATCACATATTTTAACCCAGACAAATAAAAAACAGGATGTCTAAATAATCATAAAATATACTCAGTAAAGATACAGAAAAACCATCAAAGCAAATAAGGGGAAAGCAAAAACCTTATCCAAGTCACAGGAATTTTAAAATAAAAGTTGCATTTCAACTTTTGGAGAAGTAATATGAAATGATGAGATCTAGCACAGGAAACAGAAAATTCAGTAAGGACCAACTTTTTCCCTCATAATTCCCAGAAGCCTAGAGGAAACAGGAAGAACAGATACTGTCTGAGGAACTGAACTGACTTCTCTGAAAGAGGTTGGAGGAAGGGAGAGAGCAGTGAAGAAGTCAATCAGAGGAGACCACCAGGGTGGGGGCAAGGACACCGGTTTGGAAGGAGGTCTCAAGACCAGGTGGTCTTGGCTCGGCCACCAACCAGCTGAGCAAGGTCACACAAAACACTTCTCTGTTTCTCAGTTTGCTCTGTTATTAAAAAAAAAAAAAGAATCAGATGATGTTCTAACAATTCCATCCAACTGTAAAATTGTGACTCTGATGAATGTCCACCAGTAGGGAATGAGGAAATACTTCAATACAATAAAGGCATAGGAACGTTGAACTTGAAAAGACAAAAAGTGAGAAACAGCCATTGTAACTACTTCAAAGACTAGAGCTAAACATAATGGATTAAAACAATAATAATAAGTACTGTCAGTCGGGACGTGCTAATAAGCCACAGGTCTACATACGATTCTTTGAGTTTCGTGAAAAATACAAGGAAAGTCATTAAGTGATTAGCATATTAATAACTATACATGAAGTGTTAGCTTTGTATTACCAATGAAATTATGAGCACCTGGTAGGCAGCTATTTACAAATATTTCTGTAAACTCACTTTATCTAGTATGTTGCGTGGTACAATCTGAGATGTAATGTACCCCTAAGCATGAGGCTATGCTTGGCTTCCAAGTCCAATAATGTCACCTTCTAAGCAACATGATTTAGGATTAAGCTCTCAGGTACTTTTTCTGCAATAGCAATTTCATAAAAATTGTTCACCATATTCCATTCAATTACTAGAAACCATATCAGATAATTTTTAAATCTAAGGAAAAACATACACAAATGAACCATCATTTATTTATAATACAGAGTAATACAATAAAATAAGAAGATTCATCATACAGAAAAAGGTTTAAAGAGGCAGTGATGCCTGAGTAGGATTTTGAAAGATAAGTAGGAGTTTACACAAAAATGGAGAAACATTCTGAGCATTCAAAGGCATGGAGGCAAGAAACAAAATGAAAGATTTGGAAGATTACAATTGGTTAAGTATTTCTGAAACACAGTGCCAAGAGCAGATAATAACAAGAGGTGAAACAGAGGGAGGAGACAGTTAGCTCACAAAGGGCTTTCTGGATCATTCTAGTAGCGAAGTCCTTTTCTTATGGGAAATAAAAAGCTTCTGAGAGATTTTGAGCACTTAGCTGATACGCTCAAATTGTCATTTCAGAAAGATGGTCCCAGCTGCAGCGTGGAGAGGGGAACATGAGCTGGAGAAGTGAGAAGATGGGCAGGAAAAGAGATGGGAAAGAACTGAATTAAAGCCATGGCAGAGGAGATGGGACAGAGACATTTAAGATGTGGAAATGGTGGGATTTTGGTAACCAGTGAGGTCGTTTGGTCCTGCTGTAGAGCCAATCACAGAGAAAGACCACAGAAGGATAAACAAGTTTAGGGGTGGAAGGTCCATTTCGGACCATATGAAGTTTGAGACATTCAGAAGGCAAGTTATATATTTATTGTCATAGTTTTTTTGCTGTGAGCTACCACAAGATCTTGTATATATTTCCCTGTGCTATACAGTATAATCTTGTTTATCTATTCTACATATGCCTGTCAGTATCTATAAATTTTGAACTCCCAGTCTGTCCCTTCCCACCCCACTCCCTCCAGCAACCACAAGTTTGTATTCTACATCTATGAGTCTATTTCTGTTTTGTATTTATATTCTCTTTTTTTTTTTAAGATTCCACATATAAGCGATCTCATATGGTATTTTTCTCTTTCTGGCTAACTTCACTTAGAATGACATTCTCCAGGAGGCATCCGTGCTGCTGCAAATAGCATTATGTTGTCAGTTTTTATGACTGAACAGTATTCCATTGTATAAATATACCACACCTTCTTTATCCAGTCATCTGTTGATCGACATTATGGCTGTTTCCATGTCTTGGATATTGTAAATAGTGCTGCTATGAACTTTGGGGTGCAGGTGTCTTTTTGAAGTAGGGTTCTTTCTGGATATATGCCCAGGAGTGGGATTCCTGGGTCATATGGTAAGTCTATTCCTAGTCTTTTGAGGAATCTCCATACTGTTTTCTACAGTGGCTGCACCAAACTGCATTCCCACCAGCAGTGTAGGAGGGTTCCCTTTTCTCCACAGCCTCTCCAGCATTTGTCATTTGTGGACTTTTGAAATGATGGCCATTCTGACTGGTGTGAGGTGATACCTCATTGTAGTTTTGATTTGCATTTCTCTGTTAGTGATATTGAGCATTTTTTCATGTGCCTATTGATCATTTGTATTTCTTCCTTGGAGAATTGCTTGTTTAGGTCTTCTGTCCATTTTTGGATTGGGTTATTTGTTTTTTTCTTATTAAGTTGTATGAGCTGCTTATATATTCTTTGTCAGTTTCAACATTTGCAAAAATTTTCTCCCATTCCGTAGGTTGTCGTTTTGTTTTACTTATGGTTCCCTTTGCTGTGCAGAAGCTTCTAAGTTTAATTAGTTGTGATTTGTTTATTCTTGCTTTTATTTCTGTTGGGTGGGTAGACTGCCCTAGGAAAACAGTTTTGAGAAGTATGTGAAATAATGTTTTGCCTATGTTTTCTTCTAGGAAG